AGTTTTATGTAGCTTATGGTGGGTTGTTTTTTTATTTATCTGATATTTGTAGCATTTTAAAAAAGATTATAAAATCTTGGTGTGTGTTTGTTTTCGTTGTTTGTTACCTCTCCAACTTAACCATCATCCCAACAGTAATTGGCCAAGAGAAAGTATGGTATTTGACTTCCATAAAATTAGTATAAATGAAGTAGTAATAGAAGTACTGCACGGGTCAGCTTGGCTTACTGAAAATCAGTGTATTGCCTGAGCTCACTCTTCTCTTAGAACTGACTTATCACTGTGTTTAAAACCAACACAGTTTAGCCTGAGGTGGAGGCGAAGGTTTTTAATTATTTCTGAAGGCTATGGTTGTGTTCATCTTGTAAGTCTACAGCACAGGAGTATTATCTAAGGCTGTGTAGTTAATGCTGTACCAAAACCTGAGTTTGATATTTTAATTGATAGTGGTATCAAAGTTGTTCTCTTTATGACCCCCTTAATAAGCTGTATAGACATTTATTATTTGTTTCAGTCTGCATCTTATGTTTGAATTCTTCTTTAAGTACTAGAACATAGGATAGATGCAAGCCAGTCTTTTTTTCCGCAGTGTGTCATTATCGTGGGGGTATCCTTCTGGTGCTTTACTGTGCTGTCCATGCTTGGTTTGGAGATAAATAAATCCCTCCTCCCTTAAAACAGGTTAAACTGCAAGTGGAATTGCATTGAAATAAATCATAAGGCAGTAAGTTAATTGTCATATGTGCATTCTGTTTGTGATGAAGGACAGTTGAAGAGTGAAATAGTATTTGTGTTACCAAATGCAGGTTTGAAAGTTGAGTTTTAGAACAGTTTTCTGAAAAACCTGATGCAAGCTGGTTGGTTGTATAGTGCTTACTTTCCTGGTTCTTACCTGTCAGAACCATTAGGAAAAGAAAACTAGATGAAGACTTGGACAACTTAATTTTCCTTCCCAAATACAGTATGGAAATCTAAGAATAGAAAGTATTTTTCCATTCCTCTTCCTTGTAATCAGTTTAGTTTCCAACAGAATGTTGAACAGTGATCATGGGAGCTCTTGCGGCAATTTCTCCTGATTAAACAATCAAACTGGAGAGCTCTGATGTAAAAGGTGACTGTTCCCTGCTTCTTCCCTTACCTGCCGCTGTATGTATACATAGATACGCACATGCGCATACACTTCACTTGCTGGGGAGCTGCCGCCTTTGCTTGGGTGGTGAAGGTTTCCTTTGTTTCCAGTTGCACAGTGATGATGAGGAATCAAAGAACTTCTCTAACTGATCCAAACGCACTCACTTTTCTTGACATTAAGATTTAGTGGTGTATGGCAATTTTTCCTTTGTTTTGAAGTAGTCCTCTGTACCTGCACTACGTGTTTTATCATATTGTACTCATTTGTTAATTCTCTACTCAAGACAGATACGATGGCGTAGACTGAACACAAACAATAAATGCACTCTTAAGCAGATTTGAAATCTCCAGTTTAAGATGGGATTGCTGCTGTTTTTGAAGTTGGCAGACTCTAATGCTCTTTCACACACAATAAAATGTGAGGAGTAAATGGATTCAAAAAGTGCAACAAAAGTATGCGAAATAGAAGTGGCAATGTCTTCTGTGCCATGTGCCATGTGCTGCGACATTTAGTTCGTCTAAGAAAACAGAGTAATATAATGGGGCTGTGGGAGAGAAGTGAAATGACTCAAAGCAGAAATGTTAAGTCACAACCGAAATGTCAGTGAAGAGGTTTTTGCTCAGGAAAAAAAAATATTCAGCGCTGAAGTTTGAGATTTTTTCGTGTAGTTTTGCTTTTATTGAAATAAAATTAAATGTTGCTTGTATTTACCTGTTTTTTCTCTCTCTTCTCGAAGTCAGGAGTATAGATTTTTGCTCAGCTCTTAAATAAGTGATGTTACTAGTGACAATCTTCAAGCTTTAAAATTGTTACCTGAACAAATAAAAATACCTGCATCAAAAATAAGGAGTAGTAAGGGTGTTGAAAGGTCACTTCTCACTTTTTTTTTTTTTTTTTTTTTTTTTTTTACTGTGAGGGTGCCTGAGTGCTGGCATGGGTTGCCCAGGCAGGTTGTGGAACCTCCATCCTTGGAGGTACCCCGAAGCTGTCTGGTCACGGTCCTGGGCAGCCAGCTGTAGGTGGCCTGGCTTGGGCAGGGCGTTGGACCAGTCGACCTCCAGAGATCCCTGCCAGCTTCAGCTGTTCGGTGATTCTCCAGAGGTTTTCTGTGTACGTGTGCGCATTGGGAAGTTCTGTACCTTTCATTCCTTACAAAGAGCAGCTGTTTGACAGGTACATTAATGTATGTAAGTATGAACTAGCGTGCCTGGAACGTAAATGTTTTAATAGGGCACAGTCTTATGGGTGCCTAATTGAGATGGAAGTATTTACCTATATGCTTTAAGCATAGTTGTGTTTTTTTTTTTTTTTAAATGCTGGACTGTTACCAGATATTCATAAGTGCCTGTGACAGAATGTTCTATCTAGTCACTTCACTGAAGTTCTTCAAAACAGAACTACTTTACTATTTTTAAATGATCATAAGTGTGTGAATCCTATTGTGTGTGCTGTGCAATATGAAAATTGTTCCGCCCTTAGAGTGAACTGTGGGTCCTGCTTTTCAGTACATACGTGAGACTGCAGTATTGGTGATGCGTCACATAGGTGTGACTAGTGAGAACAGAAGGAGATTGATCCAACTTTCTGAGAATCAAAGATTGTTTAAACTAGTGTGGAAACCAGAAAATGGGGAAGACTCATTAGGCAACCAACTGGCTTTTTCTAGAGTTTGTGCCAATGGTACTTTTGTCCAAAAGCAGTGATTACCTCTGCATACTTGCTGTGGTTATCTCTCTTATTGAGAGAGTATTATTTGTATTGTCTTAATCTTACCTGTCTTCAGAGAACACTTGCAGTAAATATGAAAAAATGTTATTTACAGTTGCCTGTTTGCATCACAGTGTATTTGTTGTTTGCCTGTTTTGACAATTGAGCAACTCCACCTGAGGGAGGAGGATTTGGTGTTCAGGTCACCATGTAAAATGAAATGTTTTCCAGGTTTGTCCAGAAGAATCTGTTGCTGTGAAACTTGAAGTCAGAGAGGCTGAGATTTATGCATGTGTCTCACAGTAGGGAAGTAAGGAATCCTCTTTCTGTGGATTTCTAAGGCTTTCAGAAACCCAGAAAGTAGCTGTATATTCTCCTCTGCCTAGGAGAGGAAGGGGCTCTTCAAGGTTTTTGGAAAGCTTGAAGCAGATCTCTGTGCATGCATCCTTGAATGTTTTGGGTTTTCTTCCAATCCTGTGACTACTTCTGTTGCAACATGAAGGCTCTGTATCAGTGCTTAGTACATAGACTGGAAGCTGTTTGTTTACTGGTAACTTACTGCTCAAGTTCAAAACTTTACTAGTAAACATATGGCTATTTAATCTTCAGATATGTATATTTGACTTAAATGCTCACCTTCAAAATAACTCATGGAAAACTGAAAGCTAGTTTGAGCACTACAAAAACAACATTTTAGTAGCTTTTAACAACCTCACAGACACTTTTCTTATACACAAAAGATATTCTAGGAGTAAATCCATATACTATCCATACTACCTTTAATTGGAAATTTGATGTTTGAGATCCTTTGTGGAGTTGGACTTAATCTGCCCACTTAAGCCTTGAGGGGAGTTTTGTGAAGGTCTCTTTTGGTCTGTTTCTCCTTCGTGCTACTTTAGCTGTTCTGATGGCAGAGAGGAACTGGTGTGCTAGAAGAGATCAATGCTCACGGTTAGGATGCCTGAGGGTCCTCATTCATGGCTGGATGCAGTGGCTATGTAGGGAGCGTAATGTTCAGGGTAAACGTCATGTAAAGATTACCCTCTTCTGTTAAGCAGTGAGGGAAGAAGAGAGGTAATAAAAGTAGACAAACAATAAAGTGAAACAAGCTTTCACCTTTTAAGTATAAAGTAGACTTTTCAGTGGAATATGTCCAAGTTGGGGTGAACCTGTGTGAGAAACGAAAGATTGGGCTTGCTTGTATACTGGCAAATGAAGAAAAATATAAGTAAAATTGTTACGTGAACAGCAATCTGATGGTTCCTTAATGGCAAGGATGTCTGAAGAAAGTGTGCCAGCAGCGCTATTGCTTGATATTAGGGCATTTAGTGTTAAAAACACTAGTAAAAAAAAAAATTAAAGATGATATTATGTATTATTTGATATGTTTACATTTGCAAATCTAGCACTCCACTATTAGAACGTTGTTACATTTTTAGGCTCAAGAGCAAATGCTGTGGTATAACCCTGTAGGCCTGTGATTTGTGTGTGTTGTAAGCGAGATGTTCGTGTCTTGTGCAGCGTGGAGGATGCAAAGGTGGGAGGTCATGGATGCAGCAGCAGTGTGTGGGCAGACAGAGAGCGAGCAGTGCTGCGACTGTACACTTGAGGGCTCTGAAGACTGTCAGGAACGGTGCAGAAGCCATTGCAGTTGAAGAATGTATTTTAATTAAATTGGTGCATCGTACCTGCGCAGGGTTTAATGCGTGCTGGGCCATTTGGCTGTTTGCCATAATTGGCTTTCCATTCCCATGATTGGAATCATAGATAAAAATTTGCTAATCCCCTTTCTTTGCTGAAAGTATTAGGAAAGTAATCCATCTTTTAAAAATGCTCGAGCAGAATCGTATGGTATAAAGAATACTTTATGGAATAATGAGATTAATGAGAACTGTAAGGCATATGCAATTTAAAACATTTTTCTGTGGTTTTAAGGGGAAAAACGCAATCTGGGCACGATAAAGCCATAAGTACTTCCTTTTCTTGTGCACTGCCTTTTAAATGTGAATTACATGTTATGCTTTTGTCTGAATGATAAAATGTGAGTATATATCTAGGAAGAAGGGACTGCTATTTATTTATAGTTTTCTTATGTTTGAAAATATCCGATTCAAAGTTCTTGGCTGTGTTTTTTCCTCACTGTCCCCTCTTCTGCCCACAGGGCATCAGAGCACGCATTCTGGAAACCCTTGTAATGCTTATTCTTCTTGCACTGCTTATCCTTGGAATCGTATGGGTGGCTTCGGCCCTCATAGACAATGATGCTGCCAGTATGGAGTCTTTGTATGGTATGGAATTTAAAATACATGACGCTAGTTTCATTTTAATTATGGAAATAGATATTTTCAACTAAATGTATTTCTAATATATGCTATGTGAGTGTTGCACAGGTTGTGAAGAAGCTGTATTAATTTAGCCAATACCATTTTTTATGTTAAATCCATTTTTAGCATGCTAAGAAGTTCCACGTTCATGTGGACACAAGGTACGTTAAAAACAAGTGACTTGAGTGATAAAAGCTGAAGATATTTTTCAAGCTAAAGTCTAAAGTACTTTGGATTTAGTTGCCGGCAGGGTTATCAACTGACTAATTCTTAGCTTATACTTGAAAATACAATTGTTCAATCCTGAACGCTTAAAAAAAGTAGTTAATTCAGATGTGTTTGTGACATAAGTATCTTACTTGTAATAGGCTAAGACTGTGCCCAATATTTGCTTTACAGACCTCTGGGAATTCTACCTCCCGTATTTATATTCCTGTATATCACTGATGGGATGCTTGTTACTTCTGTGTAAGTGTTTTCCTGATTGTTCCAAAAGATGAATGTGTATTTTTTTGAAGATTAAAGGAAACCATTTTCCATTGTGAAAATTAAGATTGTGAAAGTTAAGAGTGTGAAAAATCGTAGTGGTTTTCATTCTTAAGTTTAAACTTGGATGTAAATGAAGTTTGTGAACAAATGCTACCTTACATTTTCAGGTTTTGAGGAACTTCACACCTCACCCAAAATAATTTAAATTTTTGACTTCTTAAAGCAAGTATTTGAAAAATAGGGACTCCATTCTGCAAAAAATAACACAGTTTCTAAATGAAATGTCTGCAGGAGGTCAGTAGTGTGGAGAGATAGTTGTTTTGGAATACTTAGTTTGTCCTATATTCAGTAAACGATCCTATGAAATAAATGCAGCAAAAAACCCCAACCTTATACCGGTCAGTCCTAGCCAGAGTTCAGTCATCTGTATTTAGGGGAATAGTAAAGACAATGGAAGGCTCGAAATCCCACTTATAATTTCAGCACACCCCCATCCTCCCCAAATAAATTCTAGAAAATTGATGAGAGGGGGACAGCCCTTTCTAGATTATCATGGCTTCACCTGTTCTCCAGGCCTTACAGGTTTACAGCTAACACTTACAGGGCTGTTGCTGTGGAGAAAGGGGGGGCGGGACGACTTCCTTAAAACTAAGCAGACCTGTCTCTGAAAGGTGTTGCTCACAGACACTTTGGTGAGTCTCCTTAGGTTGTCTGTATGTGGAGATTCCTAAATCTAATTTATTTGGGGAGAGGAGGGAATTAGAGGGGGTGAAAAAAAAAAAAGGGGGTTCTGAATGTCTCCTGTAGGCTGTTCAAGAGCGTGATTCATGACAGTTGCTGGATGCTTTAATGGGGAAGCTGGCTTACAAAATTCCTACATGTGTCTTGCAGTTTGTTTCAGCAAAGCTGCATGCGTTTTGGGGCCATTGTAAACCAGTTTGCCAAAATAATTGGGATTAAATGCCAATTTTTGGAATTTATTTGTGATTTGTACAAGTAAATGGCTGAAGTTGTCTAAGGCCCTCTAAGCTGTTGTACCTGTGTAGCTGAAAGGGTAGCAGCATACAGCAGTGGGAACGTGGTGGATGCTGGGGTGGAGCTTCGTTAGTTCTTCAGCTGGCTTAATTGCTGAAGCAGTGTATCAGTAAGGCTTATTGCAGTGGTGATTCAGAGAATTGCTTCCTTTCTGTCTTCTCTTCCTGCAGCCTTCCTCCGTAGGAAAGCAAGACTAGCTCAAGTTAGCCTTTTTGAATACACTCTTGTATTTTTCTTGTAATATATAGTAGTCATAGTGAAACACTAGTTAGTAAAAAATAAATTAATCCTCACTGTAAAACCTAGTGTGCTTCTCCTTTTTTTGACAACACAGTTTTATTACAGTGGAAACTATAAATGTATATCCTCGTTCATGCTGTTACAAACTCCTTCCATCTCCTACACACTTCAGTGTTTGAAGGTTGTTCTCCCTAAACTGTTGATTTTTACTAACATTTTTTTATTATCATGGTTTTAGCCTTTCTCCCAACAAACCTATATGCAAAATACCTGGAAACCATCACCAGGCTATGATAAAAAAGGGCCAGATGTTATCTGATAGAAAAGTAGCTTAAAACCTGGTAGCTGAGCCTGCTGTCAACTGAAGTTGTGGTATAACTTTCAGAGCAAAGCAGCTTCAGGATCTCTTGACCTTACAGCTACACCTGTGCTAATAGATTAGATGTGCCTGAGACGTTCTCCAGTGCTGTGACCAGCTACTGTCATTCCATCCGTGATACTGCAGTTTGCAGAAGGTGGCTGTGTACGCGTGCTGCCTCATGAGAATGGTTCCTGGACTGCACGAACTCCGGAGCTGCACCTGGGAATTGTCTGGGAAAGTGCTGACTGGCCCAGGGCAAATCATGTCAGGGATAGTTCTAGCAATGTACTGGAGCAGACAATCAAGTCTTAATGCCCAGGAACGTATCCTGGCACTGCTGAATTTACTGGTGTAGACATAGCCGCTGGTGCCACATGCTTTGAATAAATAATTACTTGAGGAAGTTAAAGATACCTGATTATATGGTATTCCTTGTTAACAAAAAATTCAGTTATGCTTTTGGAGGGGAGAGATGCTTGTCATGTTCAAAATCTGTGTGATAGCAATGTGTTTTAAAGTCGATGTTGGAGTTTGAAGCTCTCGCAGTTCTCTTCAAAACCGTACTTGGTTATATGTGGAATAACATGTTGAACATCCAAATGAAAATTGGGCTTTGACTTGCACATCACTGTTTTCCATAATCTTTCCTCCTCTGCAGTATGCACGCCAGTGGGACTTTCACGGATGTTTACAGTAATGGGTCAGTTGCTGGTGAAGCCAACAGTAAGTGTTACACAAATCTGTCCTTGTGTGCTATCTGTTAGGAGGTAGAATGGCCTGAGGGTACTTTCTTTTAGAACACTTGCACTTCTCCATAACTCTCTCTTCATTGGCGTTTCCATGGTCAATATTTATGTACTTGTTTAAAATTTTTCATATACCACAAAAGCCTGTTTTCTTCCAGAGAAGAAGTTTTTTTAATAGTATAGACTTCCACTGATTTTTCCAGTTTATAGAACTGCTACTAGTATTAATAGTTACTGCCAGTACTGCCTATTTTATCTGTTTTGCAAATACCTGAAAGGCATGAGTCTGTTCTGAGTTCAGGAACAAAGGATACAAGACTAAACTAAGGCTGGATGATGAGAAGGGTACCTCGGGGTACCTGTTCTTAGATGGGTGAAATGTAGGTGGTTGGCATCTGTACGAACTTCTTATACATCAGTACTCTGCTGTGCTTGTACTGAGTGCTGTGAGGGAAGGGAGACGTTTGTGCCGTGTGCAAGTGGTCTAGTGACTTTGCTATCATGTTTCCTAGTTTGTATCTGCTAAAATTTGGATGCACTTAGGTCTTGCATTCCTTTTTGTTAGTCAGTTCAACCCTCAAAATACAAAGAAACTGAAATACTGGCTTATGTGGAAAGTGACTCAATGTACTTTTTCAAAATCTGCAGTTGTTTTATTTAAATCAAATTGAGTATGAAGGTTGATAGGTTAATTTTTTCCCTAGAAATGATTTGAGCATGTCACATGTACTGCCCTTCCTCTGTTCCCTAAGTCTCTTTAGTTTGAAACTGAACATATGAGATGTAACCTGAAATGAAAACTTAACAGAAGGCTTGCTTACAGTAAAGAAGTAGATCTGTAACGGAGTGGAATAATGTTTCATGGAGTTCTTATTTGTATCAGTATTGTGAAGTTGTAGACTATGTATTTAAAATAGAGGTTACTAGAAAAAACCAAACCTGACTAGATTAGTGCAGTCAGAAAAACAAGTGACTGTGATACTCAGCTCATGTTTCTGTTTCCAAATACAGATCCTTGAAGACCTAGACGAGCAGATGTATATCATCACTTTAGAGGAAGAAGCGATTCAGAGGAGGCTTAATGGTATGCTTGTTCCGATACTGCTTCAGCTACAGAGTGGTTCTGGTCATGAACACTGATCTCACAGTTACGTAACCCTTTCTCTGAAAATAGAAAATTTCAACATCTTGGTGTGTAACAATCATTCTAGGCTGCCATTTCGTTCCTCACTGTGTTGTTCAAGATTGGTTCGTGTGTGTTGGTTTGCTTTGTGTTGGCTTTTAACATGTTCATTGGCTCTGGTATGTGAATATTCTGAGACTGAGAAAGCAAATTGGGTAGTTGACCAGACCCAACACCCTTACTGCAGAATATTTTGGGTTGGTAAATGACTGTATTTTAGCTTTGCCTGAAGAACAGGGAACAGTGAGCAAGTGACTCAACTTCCTGCATTATGACTTTTGTTTTTTATTTGGAGGATTTTTCTCTGTTTCAGCTCATCATTATTTAGAATCTTCGGTAATAATTTATTATACAGCAGAGCACTTCTTTATATTCTAGGAGCTATTTGGTGAATTTAATAATTTTAATAATTCTATTAATTATTACAGTGACTGTCCAAATATTTTAGACTTCTTGTATTTAGTATTACAGTTTTGCACTTCTTGATAAGGTGTTTCTTTGTTGAAGTATTTCAAAAGCAGTATGAAGGTTTGGCTTCTAAGAGAAAGAGTATTGCAGCATGGCAGGCACCAGTTATGGAAAAATATATAATTTCTGTAAACCTGGAAATCATGTTGTACAAATTCTCTTCTGAATTGCTTTTAACTGCATGGAGAAGCCATCCATCAGAATTTATACAATTGCTTCAGGTTGGAAAACCAAAGAGTAGTCATGTCATGACACATCTACGGTTGTGTTATCTTGTGACTTATTTTTAGCCTTAATTTTCTTCATTTCCTGACCTTCTCTCTTACTCTTCAGTCTTCTGTCATGTATCTCAATCTTTTCTTCTTTCAAGTCTTGGTAAATCTCCTTTCGAAATTGCTTGGTCAGGGAAAGTACCTTTGATAACAGTAGATGGTGGTGATAGTCTTTATTCCAGCATATAAAATTTGTTGAGGAGTAGTGACTTGTTTGTGCTAAAATCAGACATGGTTTCAGTTTAAAAGTAATGTTCACCTCTGCTGTTTTGGGAGCTTAGGTTTTTATACTGACATGCATATATATAGGCGTACACATACAGACATGAATGTCTTTGAAGCTGTTGTGGGGTAATTATAATTGTGCTGTGTGTTTGAAGTTAGCTAGCAACTGTAAAATATTTGTTACTGAATATTTTATGTTGTCATGGTGATTGTGCTTATGTACAAGAAAAGTGATACAGAAAGATGACCCAGTAGTTGTTCAGGTATCTATTAGTAGTGCAGAGTGCTTTCCACTATTCAGGTAGATAATGTGGTTATTTAGGTGATGATTGTCTGCTGGTTTTCAGCAGTTCCTCAGAATTCAGTAGTAGCACTCATGAGGTGGAGCTGGTCTGTTTGTAGGCATCTGTTAAATGGATCTGGATGTAGGACGTGTGCAGGTGGCTCCCCTAGCTGCGAGCCGAAAGACTGGATTCTCCTTCAGTGAATCGGTTCGTGTTCACCGTAAAGTGGAACTGCAACCCACCCATGTTCCACAGAGCTAGGCTGAAAGATGTGAGGCTGAGCTGTCCTTGGACAGGAGAGGGAACAATTCTTCTGTTTCACATGCTGAGGGAATGGTATTGACACCATCTGAAGGAACGCTTGAAAAACCATATGTTGGTGTATAGAGAAAATTAATGGACTTAAGCTGAGAGGTAAATAAAATTCTAAACTTGGATATAGCATGTAGGTGGAGGGCAATATGTTATATGCCCAAGAAGATGCTCTGCAAGATTTTTGTGAGTAATTATTTTAGTCATTATAAGTATGGTTCTCATTTATGTGGCAAGCATGGAAATCTTCATCTTTGCTGCCAGAAGTCTTTCTAATACATGCAAATTATGCTATGAAAATAGATACTATTTTTGCCAGAACTATGAAGACTGATGCTTATCATGTTTATTGTGTTTTTAAAAATGTGTACAAATGGAGATGTGGTGCGAATAGCATCAGCAGATGTAGTGGCGTGGTGTTAGAGGCCGTATTCTGTGACTTAACGTTTTGCTGATGTATCGGAGCAGATACATTAGGCTACTGGTGAATTGTGTCATGGCTATTGCATCTCTTCCACAGTTGTGGTGATGGAAATATGTGTGCCTAAGTAAACCTGTGGGACAGTTTGGTAGTGAAGTGTTCTGAATAAACACTCCATTTTCATGTATAACCAAACAGTTGAATTTTCATTAAAACTGAAGATGACTAGAGCAACAGGCTTAAGTAATACTTGGTGATTGTCAATGATGACTTTTCTTTTTTCTTGGTGGAATAATTGCTGTCACGCTCCTAGCACAGCTTTACCCTGTCCTAATTAATGTTTCCTCAGGCTGTGCCTGGGCATAGGGAGGGTGTAGCATGAATCGCTGTTCCCGCTGAAGAGGCTGGGAAGAGCCTCTGTTTTTGGAGGACGAAAATAATGTAGCTGTGTGAGCGGGTGCCCTCCTTGATTCATATAGATGTAACTATTGTGGCAGTGATGCAGTTGATAGAGTATTCGGTAAAGCTCTTCAAATTTGAAAATAAATCTAACTCTGAAACTGCCTGTCTTCTTTGTGGAAGCTAATTTTCTTCCATCTCTGATGTCTGCAGTGTGTTATTGAAAATGGGAGGAGGAGGGAGGGGAAAGCTTGATCGTGTTATCTACCCTAGTATTTTTATCTATTGAAGAGATACTGGGCTTTGGGAAAATGGAGCTTTGGGAAAATGTTTGTTTCCAGTGTATTATATTTCAGTACCCACATCACTCCTACAGTCGAAGAATAAAGCTGGGACTTTTTTATATTAAAAGAAAAAAGTTGCCTTCAGCTATTAGTTTTCCTGAATCCAAAGAGACGGGTGGGGTAGGATCAAAAATACTTACTTGATCAAAGTTATTGGCTCTGAAGGTATCCTTACCTATGTAAGGAAGATGAAAGGTGTTGTTTTTATTGCACGCTAGTAACAGTGTAATTTTGAACTAATTGGTGTTGAACTGCCAATCACCTAGGGGGAATGCAAATAGATACTCTTACAATTTCCTTTGAGGTACTGAAATCTTATGTCGGGGCTGGAAGAAAAACAGAATAATACCGTTAAATTGACCTTAAATGAGCTGCTTTGTGGCTTTCTTGGAGAATCCCTTCTAACTTTTCATTGCTAGTCCAAACAAGTCTCGTCTACCAATTTGATTTATTGGCTAGACAGTGCTGACATTGAACTTTGTGCGCGTTTGAAATAAAGCTAATGTTATAGAGCTTTTAAGAATTTAGCTGCATCCTTTTCAAATACGCTTTTGACTGATCTGAAACTTTGCCTTCCCCTCTTGTAAAATATCCTTTTGTGTAGCAACCTGTTGTTTGCCACTGTTTTTAAGGAGGAACTGCAACAGTGCTGAAATATGATTCAGAATTTCTACTGGAGTGTCTCTTAGGGACCTAATGTGGTCACACTGACTTTGTTGGAAAGATTCCTATGAATATCAGTGTGTTGAGCTCTGGATTTTTATACTGAGTTGGGGAAACAACATATATCTTGAATAAAGCTTTTCATCAGAGACCCCTAAATCAATTATGGAGAAGAAGAAAATGTCAAACGCTAACCTGAATTTTCTTGCTTCTTCAGCTGCTTCCATTTAAAGACTTCCATTCTGGAGACTTTATCCACTGAGCTCTATATAGCTATCCTTTTTCTTAACTCATAGTGATTAGTCATTCTGTAAAACATGTTTTAGATTTTTTTTCAGAGGGAATGAACACAGAAGCTTATTTTCGTAATGATAATGAAAACTTTTTTTTTTTAAAAAACCCACCTTTTCTAACCCACCCCCCATATTATAATTACTGGTTTAAACACTAAGAAATTAAACTGGCATTCGTATTGCAGGCACTTCAAGTGAATAGAAGTTGTTACAAAACAGCATTTGTAGGTTACACTGGTTAGTCCTGGGATTTGAGATATTTATATGTTTGAAGCCACTGCAAATATTAGCACATACACATTATATCACTGATACCAAAGAGAAGTGTTTAGGCATAGCACAGAGGTTATGTGTTAAATGCAAAAATGTGTGTGAAAGAAGCAGCTAATTAAACATTTAAAATTTTTTTGAAACAGTTGGATGCCTCCTTGACTGCATTGAACAAATCAGTATGAATACTCTGAAATAAAAAGAGTAAAAGTTTAAAAAAAGTCCGAGAAATACTCTTGTATATCTTGGTTTTCAGGTAGGGCCTCACTGTGCTGGAATATGGAGAATGCGTGGGCTGCATGGGATGAGAAATTTACCTTCTTACCTTGTGCTGAGATTCCTGGATGGATGAGCAGACAACAGAAAATAAGGAAATAAAGAGACTGGAATATAAAGTAGTGTTAGTGTGCCAGCAACCAAAGTGCTATTTAGTTTTTATAGGCACATGATCAAGATATGAAATAAAAATCTGGACAAGACTATTAATCTCATAGAAATTTATCAGAGGGTGTTTAAAAAAAAAAAAAAGTGTTTGGAACATGGTGCTATTACAGGTTAGCCCGCAATCGAAGGTGCGGCCAAGGGTAGGGAATGGCCGAGGGGTGAAGGGTGTCAGTGTAAATCAGGAAAGAAGGTAGCAGAGGGGACTTAGGGTTTGTTAAGACCTTGAGCTGTCACTGCCACAGACTCTGTTTTTGCAGACTGAGATTGGCCTGGAATAGACAGGGAAAATATGAGCCTGCATAACTTATTTTCAGGTGAGATTATTCAGAAATAAAAGGGATGCAAGTGGGGCAAAGATGAGAGTGGAGAGTGTTTCTTGCTTATCCCAGGAAGAAGACTTCCAGTTTGTGACTGCAAAGAGTAAAGACTCAAGTGGAAATAATGAGACTGGAACTGAACAAGCAGATCTCTGGTCAGCACATCGGAGCTGTATCAGTGCTTGAACACTGTGCAGTGTTTGTAGAGGAACTGGAATCAAAGGAGAGAAACCACAGTGCACTTGCACCGGAAAAGATGGGTGGCTGGAAGAGAATGGGAAG